ATATGTAAAAGAATTTAAAAATGTTTAAGTAATTAAAATAAAAGCAGCCAGGATATGGACAAATGGGCAAAAGTAAACAATAGCAGTAATAAATGAAAGACAAACTGTTAGGTTATTAAATTTAATTTTCTTTTGACCAGAATAACATAATTCCTTCAATGTCGTCCTCATTATCTACATCAGTGAAGAAAATCTCCACATTTGAAAAAGAGGTTTAAAAAAAGCAGGATTTTTTAAATTTTGAACTACTGTGTAACTGAATCTGATTCAGTTCACCTCCTCAATTCAATCCCAGCATGCCCTGCATTTACATGCCCAAATAATACGGCAGGACTTGGCTGTAATTATGTCATTAAGTTGACTGAATTCCCATACTGTACTGCTGGCTGAGAAAATGCAATAAAGGTGGAGTACAGTTCTTCCCACCAAGAATCTCACTGGGGAGCTGGACAAACACAAAACGTATATCAAAGTTCACATCATACTAGGAACCACAAAAATACATGAGAAACCTATAAAAAATGAGGAACTATCAAAGTAGGAATCTTTAATCCTATCCGAAGTGATTTGATTAATTTAATTGTTCAAGTAGCCAACTTACTTTGTCATTTTATTAAAGCTCACTACATATTTATCACAAGAGTTAATATTTGCAGTGTTTATAATTATGGATCATGAAGTTAAGATGTCCAAGCTGGAATCTTGATCTGCCACTTCTTAGGTAAGTGAACTTCAGAAAGTTATTCTTTAAATCTTAAATTCTCAAAGATTCCAATACTACTATCTATTTCAAAATGTAACTAGGAAAATTGAAATATGTAAAAAAAAGCATACAACAATATCCAGTACAGCATAAGCTCTCAAAAATATTAACTATTCTTTAGAAAAAAAGATTCTTCTTAAAAATGTATAATGATTGAACTGAGTATTGAAAATTTATTGACTCCTCTATTACAATTCAGTCTGACCAACTCTTGAGCCCTTTAAACATTAAGTTCTATGAATTTATACATTGGTACAAAATGAAAAACACTCTTTCAACTACACTCCTATTTATACTATACCCCAATTTATCAAAGCTCTAATTAACCTCTATAGGACCAAAGAACTAAATGCTGCAGCTCAGTTGCAAATAATTCTATAAGCCTTGTTGAGTGGGGATGAAATGAGGCTATAAAGGCTATACTGAACACATCAACAAAGTGTTATAAATGTTTGGATTTTAGTCTAAGTACAATGAGAAATCACTGAAGGACTTTAAACAACGGATAACCTGACCTACATTTTCAAACTGTAACCTTTTTTGTTGAATAGACAATGTGAAAGAGAAAAACAAGAGCTAGGAGTCTAGTGAGGTAGTTCAAGCAAGAGAAAATAATGCCTTGGAGTAGGACATTAGCAAATATAATGTAAAGAAGTGAACCGAGTGGAGACATATTTTGCAGGTGGCATTAAAAGTCTTAATAAAGGATATTAGGAGGAGAGAATTCCAAGATTTCTGTCTTGATCAACTCGATAAGTGGAGTGCCACATAGTATGGTAGGAAATACTGAAAGAGAAAGAAATCAGTGTGGCAGGAGGGCAAAAAGCAAGAATCCCTTGAGTTAAAGATATCTGTGAGACATCAAGTGGAGACAGAATGGATAGTTTGGATCTATGACACTAGGGTTCAAAAAGAGAGTTTAGAACTGGAGGCCTATATTTAAAAGTCATAAGTACATATGTGATATTTAAAGCCATGAGGATCAGATTGCCTGGGATAAGAATGCAAAAAATGAGCAGAAAATGACTTCAGAAATGACCCCTAAGAAATTCTAATATTTAGAAGTTAGATAGAATAAATGGAGGGACAGTGAAAAACTCTGAGGAGAGACCATAAACCGGGAAGAAAAACCAAGAAAGCAAAAGTAAACAACTATAGCAAATGGTATTAGAAGATCAAGTAAACCAATTTTCTTTTATTTCTTTAATCTAGCAATGTGGAGAAAATTGGTGATACTACCAAAAATGGGTTTAGTATCCTGGTGTCAATGGACACTAGATTAGAAAGTCTGATAAAAGGGAGGTGAAGTAGAAATAATTTTCCCAGAAAAGACTGGCAGGAAGGAGGGTAGAGACAAGTTCAATCACAGGGAAATATAGACTGTGAATAATGTTTTGGAAGTAGCATTTTATTTGGAGAGTTCCAGGGAATGTTTGAATGATGTTAGGAAAATCCCACAGACAGCCAGAGGATATAGGAAGAAGTGGAAATGACTAGTAAAACAAGATCAGTGAGAAGAATGAGTAATAGTTCCAAATCATATGTAGGAAGATGGATTTTTGATAGAAGGCAGGGCACTTCTTCCATTGGAACTGTGAACAGATTAAGGTAAATACAGACACAAGTACAGTTTATATATTTAATGGAAAACAGGTGAATAAATTCCAGCCTTATGGGATCTGTATTTGTTAATGAGATGTGAGGTAAAGCGATCTGCTCATGATGGATGTGTAAAGTCAATGAAGGAAGGAACGGGGGTAGGGCAAACCAACCCTTCGGGTTTGCAAGGACCAAGAGAATTCCTGTGACTCAGGACTTTCAACAATAAAACCAGGAAAGTCTCAGCAAGATGCTAAGTCTCTCATTCTGGAATCTGAACAGGGTGGAGGAGGTATACCATAGTCTTTATATACTGTAGGAACCGAATTCACTAGTAAAAAAGAGAAAGATTACTAGTTTTGAATGCCCAGTTAACAATGACGACCATGATTTTATAGCATAATCGTATATTGAGTAATATTGACTTTAGATCACCAATTGTGCCTCTGTTCAGAGAATGTTCCTAGACTTCCTCAATTCAGGTACATTAAGTGTCATAGTCATTTTTCATTGTACCCCCTAAACAATTGTCTTTCCTACTTGACTATTCCTCTACAGACTGTATTAGGGAAGAGACTATGAGTGCTGTGTTCATTCATTTCATAGGAGAAACAAAAGTATAAGTTGAAACAGATTCATAAATTGTTAAAATTAAGGTAAATAATACTTGTGAAGCACCCATCAACTGTCCAATAAGTGGTAGCTAAAATGTCTCTAATACTACTCATATTTTCATAGTAGAGCACAGATCTTGACTTGAACACATTTGGAGAGAGATAAACACTTGCTCAATGAAAAAGTTCAGACTAGAGATGAGGTCCTACATTATGACTGCCCCCAGCAAACGCAACTGTTTGTCGATTTTACTTTCACCATCCTAAATGTCGTTCTCCGAAATTCCAGCTTTTGTTGTGTTCTTTAAAAAGAAAGGAAGAAAGAAGCAGGAAAAAAAAATCCTAGAAATAATTGTTAATTGCCCTTATAGAATGGGGTTTTGAACAGTAAGGTGGCGGGAAACCAGAGGTGGTATGAGATACATGGGCAGTCTTAATTCATTATGTGCCATTGTCTTATATATAGGACACCAGAAAAATTTTTTTGTTGTAACGTTTTTGTAGGAGTCCTATAATATAGGACACAAGAAGTTTCAATAACAATTTCGTGCTCGTGCATTTTCAGCGCCTTGTCCACTAGGTGGTGGTACTGAGTCCCTAGTGTACCTACAGTTGTTTTTCTCACAACAACCATTTGTACGTGAAGTAAACCCAATACATTTCTTCAAAATTTCAGCTTGAAAAACAGCGCTCAAGTGAGCAGGGCGGGGAAGGCCCGGAAGAGGAGAAGCGAAGTGCCGGCAGCAGGGGAGCTCCCACGACTCTCGGGAAGCAGCGGGCTGTTCACGCCGTGTCCCGGCTCTAGGTCACCGGGGCGCCGCCGGGCACCATTCCTAGGCGCAGAGTCAGCTGGGATTGCGTGCTGGTGCCGCGGCCACGGCGCCTACAGGCCACTGCAGCCAGGTGAGCCGCTGCAGTCGATCTTTGCTTGCAAAAGCACTCAGAAACAAATGGCCGACCGGCTGGGCCCACGAGCCACGTGACCAGCCCTAGTCATGTGACTCCGGAACCCCGCCGCTGACGTCTGTTACCCTGACAACTGCCGACCCGCACGGGCCTTTGGGGAAGCGCGGGTTACGGAGGCAAAGGTAGGTATATATACAGGGCTAGCTCCCCAGCCACGCCGGGGTGGTGCGGGCTGTGCCTGCGACTGGGTCCTTGGAGCTTTCGTGGTTCGGGTCATCCGCCTTCTCCGCCCTGACTCCACTGTAAGCAAGTCTTTGTCTTCCCGCCAACTACCGAATCCGCGCTTTCTGGAGCCTGGACGCCGCGGGGCTGAAGGCCTTTTAGTGGGGTCAGCCCCTTATCAAGCTCTTGGGCCAAGACTTGAACCGCACCTACCCTGAACTGATCGAAATGCTACTAAAGGGAGGAGGTCTTTTTCTGTATTTGGGGAAGGTACTGTCCGGGCCTCCAACCACTACCCCACTCTCACTGGGGTATGCAGAGTAAGCCCCCAAAGTTGAGATTTTTATGGGAAAAGAACTCCGTGTTGCAAATCACTGCATTCTTTTTTAAGGGGTTCAGTGCACCGTTTTTGTGGTCGTCTTTGCTTCAAAAGAAACATGATTCGTGCTGATTTGTATACTGTATTAATTTTTAAGTATTCCAAATCCTAATAAATTCTCTATATCTGGAAACATTCCCATATCTGAAAAGTCTGTTTTGCCAAACTGTTGATGTTGATTGGTAAAGTAGCAGAAATCAGTTGAATCAGACTACACAACTGTTAGGTTTGTAAGAAAAGTGGCCCTTTGGTGTTCTGTTATAAAATTTAAGATTATATGTGAGGGCTTGGTTTGTGTTTGAGAGGTGTTAAGTAACACACAAATATGTATATATTTTTGAAATATTTTAACAATTAGATCTTAACAGATGAAAATGTAATTTTGGACCTCAAGTAGAAGGTAGGTTGTTGAAGCTAATGTGAAGGATTTCCTCAAAAGGTGTTTCTCTCTTTTGTCATTTAGTGTTTCCAGTGTTGTAAATAGTGTGTTTGCTTTGGGAAGCAAAAATTACTGATTATGGCTCAATATGCCAAAGAAGAGCTGGATGAAGAATTTGAACAGTTTATGAAGGAGGTAAGTTCATATTTTTAAAAGATGTTTGGTAAATTTGTCTCATGAGACTCATTTTTCAGGGCTGGGAATGTAGTTTGGTGGCAGAGTGCTTGCCTAGCATGTATGAGGCCCCGGATTGGATCACCAGCACAGCATACTGAACAAAAACAAAACAGTTATTTATTTGTATATTTTTTTGTAATATTGGGGATTAAACAGGACCTCGTGGGTGTTAGGCAAGCACTCTATCACACCCCCAACCCCATATTTATTTTTACTAGGTCAAGAAATGTAAAAATGCAAAATTATTCAATAATAACATTTAATAAAACTTTAAAAAAAACCCCACAAAGATGCATCCTTAATTTTCCCTTTCATCTTATAATCAAACTGTCACCTCCATCTTTAGAGTTTACCCATTATCTCTGTAGTTGGCTCCCATTTTAAATACTGCCACCTGCTCCTTCAATACCATCATCTCACCTGGCCTACTGGAGCTGTTCACGATTAATTTCCCAGTATTCCTTTCACCACACTGCAGCCAGATGAAGTGTTACATAAATCTGACTCTTAAAATGCTATTGGTCTTCCTATCATCACTTGTAGAATAAAATCTAAACTCCTTTTGGTGTTGTGAAGCTCTTCATGATTTTGTTCATGTCTACCTCGCTCACTTTTTGTCACTCTTCCCCTTCATCCACTTTATTTATTCTACAATGCCCCCCCCCCCCCCCCTTGTGCTATCTGTTCTTCCACGAACTGTTTTGTTTCCTTGTTTTCAACCTGGCTTGTAAAGATCTTAAATATCATTACCTCAAGACAGGCTTTTTCCTGTTTTGTTTTTGTTAGCCCAATAAAAAAATATTGGAGTAACTTCTTAGTATGCCATGTATACTTCTTACAGCACTGTGATGTTTTCTACTTTCTATTGTAAGAATAGTTGTTCTGAGACATGATTGTTGTAATTTCATTGCTATACATGCTTAATAATAGACCTAATAGATAATTAATATCTACTGAATGAATAAAGGGTCACACCACAGCCTATGTAGGTACATCAATGAAGAGTCCTTGTAAATCATTTAGGAGAGCCATATTTTAAAATGTTATATAGCATTCTCATTTATAAAGGAAATTTTGTATAATAGAAAGAACCTGAGTTTCATTATCTATCTCATAGGAATAGCAATGCCTATTTTATAGAATTGTTTTAAGAATTTAAAAAGCATCTATCAATTGCCAGAATTTTAATCGACACATAGAACAGGTCTCATTTTTCCATTTGAAAAACTGATTTTTGAATTTGAATATGGGCACATTTTAAAAATCAAATATATAGAAAGTATTTTTATTTTGAAAGATTAATGGCAGTGCAATATAGGCCTTTTAGAAAATATTTTTCTTCTGCCCCTCATTTATGACCACCCCCCAAAACACATACTCCAAAATTGTCTCCTTCTCTCCTTGTCTATCTTCCTCTCACATCCATTCTCAAATTATAAAAGATCTTGTCTCATGTTAGAGGTTTAGGTAAATCAGTGTTTCATTTTTTTTCAATGAAAACCATGATTTTAAGACTTCCTTGGACATTTTGATAAATTATTCAAATTATGCAAACTTCCTTGGACATTTTGATAAATTATTCAAACAGGTATTCAAAGTATAGTTTATATCTCTTTGTTTTTAGAAGTGTGGTTTGACAAGCTTTTTACAATTAGGTTTATTGAGATATAACTCATATGCCATACCATACAATTCACCCATTCAGAATATATAATTCAGTGTTTTTAGAGTGATGTAACCATTGCCACAATCAGTTTCAGGACATTTTTATTACTCCAGAAAGAAACCCATAGCTCTTAGTCTCCCCCAACACCTCTTCCCTCCTTTCCCAGCCCTAGGCAACCACTCATCTTTTTCCTGTCCCTAAAGGTTTGCCTATTATGGCCATTTCATAGAAATGGACATGCAGTGTTCTTTTGGGTCTACCTTCTTTTACTTAGCATAAAGTTTTCATGGTTCAATATTCATGTTATAGCATGCTTTAGCACCTCATTTGTTTTTATAGCTAAATTGTATGCTTTTGGATGAATATACCACATCTTGGTTATTCCCTTTTCACTTGATAGAAACTTGGAGTCTTTCCATTTTATGGCAGTTATGAATACTGCTATGAGCAGACACATATGAGTTTTTGTGTGGATGTATATTTTCATTTCTTTTATATATACATAGGAATAAAATTGCCGTGTCATATGGTAATTCCAAGGTTAAACCTTGGAGGAACTGCCTGACTATTTTCTAGAGTGGTTGTGCTATTTATATTTTCACTAGCAGTGTATTAGTTTAATGAGGTTCCATTTTCTCTATATCCTTGCTAACACTAATTATCTGAGGACCAGCTTTTTGTTTGTTTTTAATGACAAACCTGGAAAGCAGTGTGAAAGGTTTTGAGAGTGAGACACAATGCATTAGAAAGAATAATGGATTCTCTCCATATTTTTCTGATCTTTCCACAGGCCTACTCCTGACTTACAGATAAATAAACTTGAGAAAATTTGAGGAGAGAGAAATGGAATGTTTTAAGGGTATAGTGATGTTTAGAGGCTAAGTAGAAAGAGATGCCACTAACAGGAATTCAGATAAGATAAAGAATATTTTTTCCCCTTCTATCCTTCGAACCTGTTATCAAGGAAGACAGAGTTTCTTTGGAACATGTTTAAAATCGACACTCTTTATAAGACATTGAAGTAGTTTTGTTTGGCAGGTGTAAGTGTGTGTGTGTGTTGTCATATTGGAAGTTTCAAAGGCCACCAGTATCCTGTGGGGGTAGGGGGAGGACTACATAGTATAGCGGAAAGTAGACAGGCTTTCAGTCAGAGACCTGAATAAGTTTGATTCTGTCTTTGTACCACTTACTGACATTAGCACCTTGGGCAAGTTGTTTAATCTCTGAGCTTCAGTTTTCTCATCAGTAAGTGTCTGTACGATAGTTTAAAAAACTAAGTCAGATAATCTAAAGGCAGGTTAGGTTCTGACATAGAACAGACATGTAATGCATTTCTTCCCCAGAAAAAGTTTATGACATGGGAATGAAAAAGGATCAAGAACATAGTCCTAGAGAATCTTCTTTTAATAGCTTTGGGCTCTTTTGCCCATTTCCTTATGATATAGAAGGGTGTCAGTGACTGCAGAACTCCAGAGTAACCTGATGGGAAGCGATGCTGCCTAAGTAAGTTTCAAGAAGAATTGGTCACCACTATTGTTATGGTTTTGGTATTGGGTATCTCCCACAAAACTCCTGTGTTTCTACAGGAATATTCATAAGTAAAATTATTGAATTATGGGAATTGTAACCTAATCAACCCATTCTGATTTGAAGACAGGTAGGGCTTGGTTGGAGGTGGTGGGTCACTTGGGGCATGACCTAGAAGGGTTCATATTTCCCACAGACATTTGGGTAAAGCAGTGTTTCATGTTTTTACAATGAAAACCATGATTTTAAGAGTCATGCAAAATTCTTTTGATATTTTGATAAATTTTTCAAGAAGACTTTTCAAAAATGTATTTATGTATCTTTATTTTTAGGGGCATGGTTCCACAAACTTTTAAAATTAGGTTTTGGTCAGTTAGGAAGGGTGACTGACAGTTGTCCTTTGTGTCATTTAGGAGGCCTTTGGAGCCCAAAGGAAAGCTCTTTTGGATAGAAACCAGATTTTAAGGAGTTGAGCAGTCAATTCAAGATTTGGTATATAGAGTAAAAGGGACTTGTCATGTTGCATTTTTTTTCCCCCAAAGTAGAGGGTATTCATTCTTTTTCTCCACAGCAGTGTCAGGTGTTACACAGGGTGCTAGAGATGTGTTGCTGAGCACATTTTATAATCTGAGGTAAGCAGAGAGAGTTGAGAGCAGAGGGAGTGAAGATACAAAAGTGAAAGTGGATAATCAAGGAAAAAAGAACCCCTAGAGACTCCTTTGAGGTTCTGTTGGGGGTGGAGGATAGTATTGTCTCCTCGGAGAGAGGAAGTGCCTTAAGGGAGTTTAGTGGTGGGGTGAGGGGAAGATAGGTGGTGTTTGACTAAGCTCTCAGTGAAGAGTTCACCTTACTGGCTAAGAGGGAAGAGGGAATTGGGATTAGAGTAGGAGATTTGAGAATGTAGTATTTGGACCAAATACTCATTTTCTACAAAGGAAAAGATAAATACAAATTTATCCAAGTTTATTAATCACTGTGACAAAATGCTCATTTCTCTGGTCAACACCATCTGCTCCACTGACTGAAATTCAGTTCTTCCTTGTTTTGAAATTGGAAATTTTGAATTCTGCGTTCTTAGAGTGACCCCAGGTACTTTTAATCAACCACCACAGTCTGTAGATAATCTTTGGAAGATAGGATTATATTCTTTTTTTCCTTTCCTGAGCAAGTTTATTGATCATTTTCTTTTTGGTTGTTCTCTGAGTTTACTTGTTTAACTCTATATATGAAATCAATGTTAAAAGACATATGCTTGATCTTCAAGTTATTTGGCTATCTCTGTTTATGGATATGAATTTATACATTATTATTGAGGATAATATCTGATAACTGTGGAACTAAAACATTTAGGATAAATGTGATATTCTTTAATTTACAACTTATTTTGAAATTTAATAATTTGTATCTGATTCAGCTTTCAGATGATTCTTTTGAAAGTTCAAGCAAAACACCTAGACAACCTGAAAAAGAAATGAAGAAGAAAGATATAGTGCCTTGGTGGATAACTGAAGATGAGTTTGAAGATGGTGGTAAATATTGTTAATTTTTAGTTTTGAATATTTTGACCACAAGGGGTCAGTCAAGACTTTCAATTCTGGATTTTGTTCTGCACTATAAATATAAAAGAAAAATAATACTAATAGTGTGACTTCTAGAGGTTTAAATTGATTTTCATGGTTTTTCACATTTTATTATATAATTGAAAATCTGTTTTTGATCAGGTTATTTTACATTGAGATCATTTATTCAAGGTGATGAATATTGTTATATATCATTGTATTTAATAGTGAATTGATATAAGGTGATTTAATAAGATATTCTTACAGTGATCACATGGGCAAGGTTTTAACAAATCCGTAGTTTTGGGTATCGGAGTTTGTTAAATAGTAGTAAAAATAAAAATTATTTACTACCTTAATGGTAAAGGACTCACTATTTCTGGCACATATTTATGCCTTTACAAATGCAAAAGTATTTTCATGAGTGTTTTGTTGTGCTAATGTATCATATGTATACTACCCGTAATTTGGCAGTATTTGTATATCTATATAGCACTATATATAGTACACTTACTTTATGATAATGCCATGTCAGTAAAGAACCCAGAGTGCTTCTATTTATTTATTTATTTATTTATTTTAGAGAGAGTGAGAATTTTTTAATATTTATTTTTTTAGTTTTCGGCAGACACAACATCTTTGTTTGTATGTGGTGCTGAGGATCGAACCCGGGCTGCAAGCATACCAGGCAAGCGCGCTACCGCTTGAGCCACATCCCCAGCCCAAGAGTGCTTCTATTTAAATATCTATGTTTTCGATATTTGTGAATAAGTATTAAGCACCATTTTGTGAACTGATAGAATTTCTCTCTCTTCTCTAGGAGATTTACCTGTGACTTTTATTATCTCCCATAAAATTGAGTCTGAATTTCTTAATGTGACAGTTGAGGCTATATATAACCCAAATGAAACTCTCTTCTAGCTCATATTTCCCAGTCACACTCAGTTATTCTGTATCTCCTTAAAACACCATTGACTCCCATACCTCTGATTGGCTCAGGAGTTTCTTGTCCTCCTTACCCAGTAAAGCTTGACATCACTACTTTGTGCAGTCCTTCAGTAACTCTTCTTGCTCCCTTGTCGACAGTTATTTTCTCCTTTGTTTTGAGGGGAGAATATCATAATAGCACTTGCACAGGTGTTGCTAATTGTAACCTGTAGGACTGCTTCTGCAGTTGGGAGCTTTGTGTAGGCAGAAATACCTCTTTTTCCCTTATATCCTGGCCTTCAACAGTAAATAATAAGTGTGTTTAATAAATGAATGTTAGAGTAGATTCACTTCTTTGTTCTTAATACTATAGTACATTAAGAGAACACCTTATTTAAAAAGTTTTAGTACATTTTTTTTCATAAATACCCAAACCATGCAACAACACTAAAGTACACATATGAAGAATTATCTATTTATTTATTTATATTGGTACTGGGGATTGAACCCAGGGGCAATCTGCCACTGAGCCACATCTCTAGCCCTTTTTTTGTATTTTCAGACAGGGCCTCACTAAGCTACTTAGAGCCTCAATAAGTTGCTTAGAACCTTGCTAAGTTGCTGAGGCTGGCCTTGAACTTGTACTCCTCCTTGCTCAGCCGCCTGAGACACTAGGATTACAGGGGTATGCCACTGCACCCAGCTAAAGAATTAGTTTTTAGAATCTCCTTCCTTGTTAGTACTTGAAAAGAATATTATTTAATAAGATACCTCTGGTGCAGCCATTGACTTATTGCTCTAGGCTTATTTTCTTCTCCAACACTTAATACTCTTTGGTCCAACTTCATTGATTTCATCTTCAAATGTGGCCTATTCCTCCCATTGTCAAGCCTTTATACCTGTTGTTGCCACTTCATGGAGTTGTCTTCCTTTTCCAGTTCACCTACTTATCTCCTCTTCTTCACATCTTGGTAGAAGTGTTACTTCCTTGCAGAAATATTCTTTAGATTTTCCAGTCTTGATAGGACTCCCCCTGCCATTAACATCTTGTAGATTTCTTTCAGAATTCTAGAGTTGTTCACATTCAATTCTAGTCTGCATTTAACTCTCCATTTTCTAATAAACTCCTCAATTATAATGTAATTATTTATTTTCTTATTGCCTGTCTTCTATCTTCATTAATGTGAATGTAAGTTTCAAAAAGGCAGGGATTTTTGTCTTTTTTTTTTCCTCTTCCCTGCTAAATCCCCAGCATTTAAAACAATGTGCAGCACATACCAAACTAATGAATATTTGTTACAATTGTCTGCTTCCCTTATTAGACTTTAACCTTCATGGTGAGAAGGGCCTTCATTGTATGGCAGACATGAACATATAGGCACATAGTTTATCAAAATATCTAAATAAAATAGATAATATTCAAAACCTTTGTATATAAACATAGATTTTACTTTCTTGGAACTTTCAAGATTCTTGGAACAATTTTTAAAAGTAAAAAATTTCAAACATATTTAGAAATAAGTAGAACATACCCCATATACATACCTTTATGCAACAATTATTAATTCATGGTCAGTCATTTTTCATCTGTGTCTACTCTCTTTTTATACCCTTGTTTTAGTCAGCTTTTTTGCTGCTGTGACTAAAGAACCTAACCAGAACAATTTTAGGGGAGAAAAGTTTATTTGAGTGCTCATGGTTTCAGAGGTCTTAGTCCATAGAAGGACGGCTCCATTATTCAGGGCTCCAAGTGAGGCAGAATATCATTTTCGAGGGAAGCAGCTCACATGATGATCAGAAAGGAGAGAGAGAGACTCCACTCTCCAGATATAAAATATTTACCCCATAGCCATACCACCAGTGAACCACTTCCACCAGCCACACCCCACCTGCTTACAGTTACCACCCAGTTAATCCCATCAGAGATTAATTCACTGATTAGGTTAAAGCTATAACCCAGTTATTTCTCCTCCAAATTCTGCATTGTCTCACACATGAGCTTTGGGGGACACCACATCTAAACCATAACAACCCTCCCCCCAAACAATTACTGGCACTGTATCACTTCAGTCCACAGATATTGTAAAGTATCTCCTAAAATTAGAGAACTTTTAAAATATATATAAAATTTAACAAATATCAATAAAATTCCTTAATATGATATGATATCTAATCAGTCATAAAACACTTTTAATATATTTAATATATATTAGCTTTAGAGACAAATTCACATTCCAAAAGCTGTGAGAGATAACAGCTTCCTCTCCCCTAATAACAGATATCACATATTCTGGTATAAGAATCTCTACTGCAGTGAGCCACTATTTCCAACATTGTAGGAATGATGACTTTGAAAGATCTTTTAATGTTTCCTTTTATTTTTCTTGAAGTGCTGTTTACACTAATGAAGAATTTTGTCTAACCCCTGTAATTGTCCTTACTTGTACCTACCTTTCCCACTCTCTACTTTTTTCTGAGTGTTATGAGTCGAGCAACCAAATTTCTAAGTAAAGAGAAAACAGGGAATAAGGCAGAAGAAAAGTGATATGGCATAGTGTATTAAGTATTTAATTTATACATGAATTCTCTTAAAATCTCTTAGGTGATTTTAAGAGAGTTCAAGTACTTTAATAATTTTTTAAATCTCATGCCAATTTTCGAAATTTTCTCTTTAGTAAAATGTACACCAGACAAATAGAGCAATAACTTTTCTTTTGAAAATTCTAGGGTGGGTTTTTTATTTAACAGAGGAGATTCATTTTGTAGCAACTGTGTACAAAAACAATATAACAGTATTATTGTGTTGGCATGGTGATCAAAACAGTTCTCTGAACATAAATATCCAGCCACATTCAATTCTATTCCCAGGCCTGCTTGGAACAAATGTAAGCTATTTGAAAACAAAGAAGACTTCTCAACCTGTTGTAGAAACAGAAGAGGAATCTGCTGAAAAAATTCAATTTCTGAAGAGCAGTGGAACCTCTATCTTAAGTGTTGACAGCTTAGAAACAAATGGTAAGAAATTTGAGGGATATGAGTCAATAAGTTATTAATTCATATGCTTATATTCAGAATTTTTATAAAAATTAATTCATAACTATCTTGGATCCTTCTTTACTGAAGCATATAGACAGATTTAATATTTTCCCAGATGTTAGAATTGCAACTCTACAGAAGCCTTAAACCTTCCATGTTGATTTTGATTATTAATTTATTTGGTAGGTGAAAGATTCAGTAAATTTTAAACTTTCATTAAACTAACTATATATGTATATATGTATGTGAGTAAATGCTTCATTCAAATTAATTTTGTGAAAATTTTTATATTAATAAAATACTTTTATGCTCTCTATTTAGAACTAGTAGTTTCTGAGCTGAATCATAGTATTATTGGATTGGGATTGGACACATTAGAAGAACAAGAGGAAAAAGAACAATTTTTTGCCAGGCTTGAGAAAGGCTTGACTTCATCCATTGATTATTCAAGATTGAATAAGGAATTGGATTCTAATGATTCCATGCATTTTAAAGCTTTACATAGGTAAAGTAATAATATAAACTATTAACTATGTTTGTGTTTTTGGAAGATTGATATGTGCATGAACTCAAATAGTTACTAACAGATAAAATAAATCTTGATTTTTTTTAAAAAAACTTTATCATTTTTATAGTTGAGATTTTTCTGTGTATGAACATAATATGTTGATTTGTTGTTAAAAGCCCACTCTCCCTCCATATACCTGAAATTTCATATGTAAAATACTATAGAAAATAATAGTACGCTTCTTACTAGGAAATATATTAGGTGATTTTAAAAGAGTTTGAGTTACATTATACATTTAGGGGGCAGAGGGGAGAAAAGAACAGAAAGGGAAGTAAGAACCAGGCAACCAGGAAGCAAAGTTTTGGTCTGTGTCTTATATCTCTGTATGGCAGTTGACTCTTATTATAACAATAATAGGAAACCTCATTCATCCTAGAAACCCTAGTTGGCTGAGCTGGTCCTTTCCTAAACACAGTAGACTATTGCCATTCTTAAGACCTTTGTGAAACCTGAGGTCTTTAATTTCCTCAAGTTAGTTAACCATGTTATTGTTTTTGTTATAAATAGAAATCCAATTATGATTTTATTTAGGATTTCAAGAAATAAGGTCCTCTGGTTATTAGAGTGCCTAGTCTCAAGAAGATTCACTTCTTACAAATAGTGGATAAAGCAATACATTTACTGGCATGAACTGTTCGGGGGTCAGAGAATTTTTCTTTAAGATTTTTTTAAGATGGACAAAATATCTTTATTTATTTTTATGTGGTCCTGAGGGTGGAACCCAGTGCCTCACATGTGCGAGACAAGCGCTCTACCACTGAGCTATAACCCCAGGCCCTAGGGTCTGAGACTTTTACCCTGCTTGTACATTAACAAGTTAGCCTTTCAATCTTTGGATGTTGGCAGTAAATACTAGATTCCTGTGTCAGAAACAAAAGTCCTTATTTCTCAGAACAGAAGCAATATTGCATTGTTTCTCCATACCCCATACTGCTGGGGTAAGATCAAGGATCCATGTCTCCACATGTAGTAGGTAGGTGGCATTTACAGAAAAGGAACACTGACCTTGAGAAATCTATTGCTTTTATATTAAGTGAAAACAGGCCAGCTTTTGGGTAAAAACGTTGCCTAATGCCTCAAGATAGCTTACTTGCAAACACAACCCTGAGATGGCTTGGTAAAAATTGGTCAGAGCTGTGAATTTTTGCATACCTAGAAAGAACATACATGCAGGAACACACAGGGACCAAAGCAATTGTCTCTCCCAGATTAAGCACACATAGGTTTTATTGGCCACAATTTTTTTTGCCACTTTGCAATATTCCTTAACTTTTTCTCATTTTTCAACAGTATTCTCGACTATTAGTATTTCTGCTCTGGAACATTCTGATCAGAATGCTGCTTAGCATTGAGTATGCAATATTAGGTGTTGCTGCTATTACCATTACTATAGTCTTATGGTTTTTCAGGTCTGCTCGTGACCCTCAAGATTGAAAAAAGTAGAACTGATTCCTTAGTTTGGATATATCAGTACTGTTTTCTTTCAATTTAATTAAAACATGTTCAAACAACTTGGCCCTTTGAGGGGCAGGGAGTTGGGGGTGTTTTTGGTTTGAGGCTCCTATTCAACTTTCTTTCAAGAATTAATGGCTAATGAGCATGTCAATACTGACCTTGGTCCCCCACCCTCTTGTTGCTGGTTCTTATGCTTTGTTGTCAATTTCTAATCTTCAGTAAAGAAGGTATGTACAAGTCATGAGATAAATGTATCCATTTACACATTACACATTATGTATAAAATTATATGTATTTGTATATAAATTTAGGAAAATGGCAATTTTTTCTTTGATAATGTATGCAGCAACAGTTAGTCTTAGGCTTTGAAGATCCTTGATTTTTCAAAACATTTTCCTTATACTCCCAAATTTTTAGCTTTTGGTAGGACAAGAGTACTTGAGAAGATATATGTAATTTTAGAAATTAATACACACACACACACACACACACAGGATTGTTTGAAAAATATATTGTTAACAGTAATACTACATGTTAATTAAATATTTTTTCCAGTTACCAAGCTAATGTGGAACTAACTGACATCGAACATGAAACTGAATCAAAACATGAAGAATCGCCAGGTAATTTCATTGGTTTTAAATTTTATAATATTTGAAAAAATAATATAATTTTTAGTAAAGACATTGCCAAGAGAATAATTAAAAGGAGAATTGTAGTGTTTTGGAAAGAGCTTTGAACAGGTAGAGTGGTGTTCCATATTATTATTAAAAGTGAACAGCTGCCTCATTTGTTGAGAGTGGGCCAGGACCAATTGGAAAGATTGGAAATAGAGTTTCTGTGCCAGTCTAGGAATGTGTGAAGCCAAGACAAAGACCTCCAAAGCATTGGGGTGGGAAATACACCTTTTTTCATCATTTGATTTTCAGCATGTCTATGTTTTTAATGTTTAAATGGTTTTCTTATAGAGGTCAGGTTTTGTACTTTTGTCTAATATGACCACTTCAGACTTCAAATTGATGTGTTTCTACTCTTTATAAAAACATTTTTATTGATATGGTTGTTACTGCTTTGCCAGTATTTTCTCTTTTCCATCATTGTTACTTTTGTCCTGCATTCTATTGGGTTATTTATAACATTCATTTTATTTCTTCTTTTGGCATTTTAGTTATGACTCTTTGTTGTATTTTTTCTTAGTTTCCCTGTGATTAATAATGCATAACTTTAGAGTCTACTTTCAAATAACATTATTCCACTTCTTTTACATGAACATTAGCAACAGTAATCTCTCCATTTTGCTATTTTTATCAACATTCTTCTTCTATATTGTTGTAAATAAGTTCTAATTATATAAAGATTTACATTGATCCACTTGCTTACCACTCCCAGTGCATTGTATTCATTTGCATAGATTTCTGTCTCAAATTATTTTTTTTCAACATGAAGAAACTCTTTTAATGTTGTTTGTAGTTCAGGTGACTGCTCAGAAGAAATTATATCAGTTTTCCTTTATCTGAAAATATATTTTGCTTTCGTCTTAAAATATATTTTGCTTTCGTCTTTGAAGAATACTTTTGCTCAATATAGAGTTTAGATTTTTTTCTTTGAACGCTAATTCCATTCTATTGTCTTCTGACCATAGTTTTCATGAGAAGTTCTTGAAATTCCTGTTATTGTTATTTTGTATATCCAGTTGTCCCTTGGTATCTGTCGGGGACTAGTTTCAGGATTCCCTACAAATACCACAATCTGCAGGTGCTCAAGTCCCTTATATAAAGTGGTATATAATATTTGCATTATAAACTGTACACATCCTTTCATATACTTTCAATCATCTCTAGTTCATTTACAATGCTTAATACAGTGTAAGTACTGTCTAAGTAGTTGTTATACTGTCTTATTTAGGGAAGTTAACAAGAAGTCTGTATGTTCAGTTCAGATACAGTTGTTTGTTTTTTCTCTATCTTTTCAATTCAATGATGATTGAATCCAAAGATAAAGAGGGATATAGAAGGCTGGCTGAATATTATCTTCTCTCTATTTCCAAGATTTTCTCTTTTCCTTGTTTTCTGGGAGTTTGATTATACTATGTCTTGGTGTGTCTTTCTTGTACTTATCCTGTTCAAAATTTGAAGTTGATTGAGCATCATTATAGTTTCCATCAAAATAAAAACGTCTTCAAATATTTTTGCTTCTTGCCACCTGCCCTCTGATCCTAATTACAAATGTGTGAGAACACAAAATTTTGACCTATAGGTCACTGGGATGGTTCCATCTTTAAAAGTCTTTTAAACATTTACCCTTGTATTCTACAGTTTCTATTGCTATAGCTTCTAGTTCATTGATCTTTTCTTTAATCTGCTGTTAATTCCAAATATCCATTTGTTTGTTTTTGTTTTTGTTTTTTCCCCTTTCACTATAGGAATTCCTTTTGGATTTTAAAAATTTCTTCCTTATGTTCATTTTTTTCAAGTCTTGAATATTAGTCATCGTCTATGGATTACAGCATTTGTTCAGTTCTGGATAGTTTTATATTGGCTTTTTTTTCCCTGGTTATGGGATACTTGCTTCATTTTTTGGGATATTGTGGGGTTTAGATTGTTGAATATCTAAACTGTATTTTCTTCTTTTAAAACTTGAGCTTTGTTCTGGTAGATAGTTGACCCTGCCACTTGATCCTTTTGAGGCATATGTTTCTTAGGGGAAATTTAGAGTAGCCACTCTAAGTATCATTTAACCCTACTCTTAAGATGTATCCCTTCTGAGGTTTCTACTTAATGTCCCCAGTGATCAGTGCAGACTTTCCACTCAAGCAGGCTATTGGTGAGTCTTCTTGCTTATGAACTCTGGGAATTGTCCAGCCTGCAGCTTTGCAGTTGTTCTTGGCTCAACCTACACTTTAGCAGCTTAGCATTTAGTATAGGCTCAAGGGAGACACTGGGAAATGTTCCAAAACTGTTTCTACATACCTCCCTCCTCTCTTGATTACTGCCCTACAACTTTGGATTGCCTCAGCCTTTCTAAACTCTTGTCTCCTCAACTCAATGAGCTGTCCTCCCATTCCCTGCTTAGCATTGCAGAATATCCACACCCTCAGGTAGTTGTGAGGCTCATCTTGTGTTTATAATTTAGGATTGTGATTCCTTTAGGAATCACATTTTCACTGCCAGTTGTTCAGTGTTTGAAAACAACTGTTTTATACATTTTGTCCAGTTTACTAATTGTTTGCAAAGGAAGTTAAATATAGTTCCTGTAAGTAACTCCAGTACAACTGAGGAAAAAGTTCTTTAAATTGCATTATATTTAAAGTTTACAGCTAAATTTTCCAGAAAATAATGAAAAATGTCTCCAAAGGATCTTTTACACTGAATATGGTTTACTGTGTCTAAATTCGAAGAACATTTTCTGTATATGAAAATATTTTCAAAGTCACAAGAGTAAAGAATATCTAGAATATGTACCATCTTCTTGCCAAAAATGTCAGAGTGTATGAGTTAATATTCTCATTATTTTCTAAATATGTAAGAGCCTGAATACTAAGTGATATTTGTCATATAAAAATCACTCAATTTGGTTTTGCTCTTTCATTATTATATGAATTTAATTTGCCTTGGTTCTTGTTTCTGAAATATTTGATATGCTGTTTTCTTTCCCTTTATCTTGTCTTTCTCATTTCTGTGAGAAATGTCAATGACATTTCCTTTTTATTTCTGACTGACTTTATTCATGGCAGACTCCCAGGAAGGGGGTTAGTTATTCATATGTTGTATGGGAGTATTTGCCTTTGGCTGTTCAGTTACTGAATGAGTACATTAAAATATAGTTTGGAATAATATAAATTGCATTAGCAGTTTTCCCATTCAGATAATATTTGAAGGGATCAAGGTAGAACTCATTGGTTGAGCACTTGCCTAGTATGTATGAGGCTCTGGTTTTAATCCCCAGCACTACAACAACAACAACAACAAAGTAAGATTTGGCTTTATTTACTTGTTAAGTACAAGACTACCTAGCTAAATAATGCTAGCAACAATAATTACTATTATTAGCTAACTCTTGGGTATATTATATGTGAACTGCTGATCTGAACACTGTAATGCTTAACCTTCTCAGCAATCCTTTGAGATAAATACTATTATCACCCCACTTTACAACGGGAAAAGTGAAACCAAAAGAGTTTGTGACCTGCCATCAATTCTATAGCTAAATGCAGTAGAACAAAGAATTGATATATGTCTTCTGTTTGCCTCCAGGTCATGCTGTTAAGCACTATGCTGTACTGTCTGAACTGTTTCTTACACTGCCTCTCCCTACTTGCTTATACACTACAACTCCTACCATTGAGTCCCAGATCCAAGCAGTTACCTGATTTCAACATCATACTCTGCCATATCTCCTCCTCCTTGTTCAACTTTTCTTAAGTAACTCTAACCTCTGAGGTTACTTGAAATTTGATGGTCTGTCCAGTGTGGTGGTTCATGCCTCTAATCCCAGTGACTTAGGAAACTAAGGCAGGAGGATTACATATTTGAGGCCAACCTCAGCAATGTTGTAGCAAAACCCTGTCTCAAAGTAAAAAATAAAAAGAACTAGGATATAGCTCAATGGCAAGATGACCCTGGGTTCACTGCACAATTCCATTAGAATATTAAAATTTTAATAATCTTATATTAGGCCTATCACCTACAAGTATGTTGAATACCAAGTAATTGTCATTACTACTATGAGAATTTTCTTATATCCACTGTTGCTTAGAAAGTACCAAACATCACTCTTCTCATGAGAAAAAGAAACTTAAAGTGAGCCAGGTATGGTGGTGCATGCCTACAATCCCAGTGATTCAGGAGACTGAAGCAGGAGGATCATAAGTTTTAGGTCAGCCTTAGTAACTTAGTGAGACCCTCAGCAACTTAGCAATATCCTGTCTCTGGGCTGTGGATGTAGCTCACTGGTACCATGCCCCTGATTTCAATCCCCAGTTCAGAAAAGAAAGAAAGAAGAGCTTCTCAGTCCTTGAATATAGGTACTAAAGCAATTAACTAGCTAATCTAGCTTGCCTACCTCAATTATAGTACACCTGCTGTTCCAAACTAATTTTTTAATTGATTTTTTTAAAATAAATGACAGCAGAATGCATTACAATTCATATTACACATATAGAGCACAAATTTTCATACCTCTGGTTGTATATAAAGTACGTTCACACCAATTTGCATCTTCATACGTGTACTTTGGATAATGATGTCCATCACATTCCACCATCATTGCTAACCCCCTGCCCATCCCCTGCCCTATCTAGAGTTTGTCTATTCCTCCCTGCTCCCCTTTTCTACCCCACCCTGAGTTCTTTAAATTGCATTATACTTAAAGCTAAATTTTCCAGAAAATAATAAGAAGTCTCCAAAAGGGATCTTTTACACTTACTATGGTTTACTGTATCTAAATTCTAAGAATATTTTCTGTATATGAAAATATTTTCAAAGTCACAAGAGTAGAAAATATCTAGAATATGTACCATCTTCTTGCCAAAAAGGTCAGTTATAAGTTAATATTCTCATTATTTTCTAAACAATATGACCTTATATCAGAGAAAGTGACCTATATCAGAGAAAACATTTGGCAT